AGAGTATAATATATTTTTTTTATTTTTATGATTCCTTTGACAGATGATCGACTGTGCGAAAAGTAGTAATTTCGGATGCGAGGGGGGAGATATATGCAGTTTGCTTTCGTGGTTACTGTTATCGAAAGCTGAAATACTTCCGGAATCTACTTACCCACTCTTAGGAAAGACGGGTACGTGTAGACTTGGGAAGTAAGTATATCGAAATGATGAAATATATTTAAAGAACATGAAACACAGGGGGCGATCTATATTAAAATATTATTTTTCTCTTGCAGAAAGATGGATCAAGCGTTTGGTGTAAGAATAAAAAGTTTTGCATGTGATAGGTATGAAAATTGCAAAATTAAGTTTCCTGCGAAACAAAATATCCCAAACGGGAATATGTATAGTCGGTGGAATCGATGTAGCGAGGTTGTAAAGTAAAGCATCTACGATTCATTTGTGAATTGATACTTAAAATTTTCCAAGTTGGCATTGAACGACCTTGAATAAGGTTCGTGCACCTTATCTTCCTGAAACTGTCTTAGGAAAGACGGGTACGTGTAGACTTGGGAAGTAAGTATATCGAAATGATGAAATATATTTAAAGAACATGAAACACAGGGGGCGATCTATATTAAAATATTATTTTTCTCTTGCAGAAAGATGGATCAAGCGTTTGGTGTAAGAATAAAAAGTTTTGCATGTGATAGGTATGAAAATTGCAAAATTAAGTTTCCTGCGAAACAAAATATCCCAAACGGGAATATGTATAGTCGGTGGAATCGATGTAGCGAGGTTGTAAAGTAAAGCATCTACGATTCATTTGTGAATTGATACTTAAAATTTTCCAAGTTGGCATTGAACGACCTTGAATAAGGTTCGTGCATCTTATTTCCCTGAAACTGCTGTTTCGGCGGTCAGAGTACGTGTACTTTGATATTTGACCGATTTTACAACCTCACTGTATCGATTCCACCGACTATACATAGATATTAACAGTATCAAACGAAGGATTATATTTAAGTATCAGACATTCAATCGGTAGAAGAATGACGCCTGGCGTATTATCGTATCAATGTGTGTTGCTTCGCGTGCAATTAACTGTAAAAGGTTTTCTTACATAAGCTGACCGGTTAATGTTATTCGCGCTAAAGTGAATACAAGACTATGCATTGAATTTATACGAGGAACAGGAAATTCTATCTTCTTCTCGTTTAATCAAGTCTAAAATAAATGGTCATTTGAAAAAAAAAATTAATCGTACTTTGCTCAGTTAACAATTGAATACAAATCTTTCGTTTGTCGATCAATATTGTGAGAATGACTGTTACCTGCGATGAATAGTAATATTCACTTGCAATGTTTGTCGTTAAGACGATTAAAGGTTTAACGGACTTTAGTTTCGTAGATGCAGAGGATGAGCTGTTGACAACAGTAGCTACACATGGGCCAGTAGCGGCTGCAGTGAACGCTTTATCCTGGCAAAACTATTTAGGAGGAGTAATACAATATAACTGCGATGGCGCTTTTGAAAGTTTGAACCACGCTGTACAAATAGTGGGTTACGACCAAACAGCTGATATTCCACATTATATTATTAAAAATTCATGGGGAACAAACTTCGGAGATAAAGGCTATATGTATATAGGAATAGGCAGTAATTTATGCGGTATTGATTTACATTTTTATATCGTAAACTCTCATTGCTTTTGTAATAACTCTCGTTACTAATTACAACTATATTGAACATTTTTACTTCACAGGTATAGCAAATCAGGTTTCGTCGTTGGACGTACTTTGAGTGAATACATTTGAAGAAAAGTATTTATATTAATCCTAAAATTTACATAGGATTCTTATATGTGTTTTTGATCGAGGAACCTCGAGAAACGACAATAATGTTAATAACAATAACATCCGTTAGACTGTATTTCCAATATTCTGTTACACAATTGACACAACATTTACGTTAGCATTATATCATACGATTATCCATGCAGCCATTTGTATATTTTTTACAAGTATTCTATTATACGCTAAACGGCAAAATAAAATATCGTTTTACAATATCGACTCTAAATTGATGCATTCGAAACTCCGTTACCTTTCTAATGTTTGTATACCCTGACAAAAATATATTATATAGCTTAATTCAATTATTATCGAACCATATTTATTTACCTATGTATCGTCCAGTGTACATTCAGAATTATTTTGATTGTCATCCGGATTCCATCCGTTGCAGGCCACCGATAATTTTGTCTTCATCTGTTTGGTCAACGGTGGAATCATGTGACGAGGTATTAAGAATGTGGACAGGTTGAACAGGTCCAAAAACACCTTGTATCTATCGCTATTAATTAAATATACAAATTAGTTACAAATCAAATCAGATTGTATCTCTTTTGTAACATGTTACCTTAAAGTAGATTTTAAATATTGATATCCCGACGATCCTCCGGTACCAAGTTGCTGAGACCCAATCATTCTTTGAACCATTAAAACATGATTATCTAACGGACGAAGAGAAATACAAGTAGTTCTAACGATTGAAAGTTATTCAAATGAAATAATCAAATGCTTCCTCTTACACCTCCATTTCGTAATGAGAGAATCAATGTCCATCAAAGCGGTCAAAATTTGATGAGGTTGACTGAATCTCGGTTCGTCACGGTACAACGTGATCATCACCGCACCTTGAAGAGCGGCGTAAGCGAATTTTCTTTCTCCCCGCGACACAAGAGCGTTGTGATGGGACTCGTTAAAAATCGTCTCGAATATTGCTTTCCGAGAGTGCACGTTCGCCAGATGATAATTCCTAAGTTGCTCCTTTGTATGTTTCTGCGAAAAAGGATATACCAGATAATTAAAGACTTTGTTCAATGTGAAAAGCTACTTGTATTTAGAGAAGAAAACGATTACTCGAGCGTGTTGTTCTTGCTCTACGAGCAACTTCTCCACGGATCTTTGGTATTTCCCCCAAAAGTCAAAGTCGTGAGGTTCGAGACCCGGCGTTCTTGCTAACCATCTTTGAACAAGACAACTGAGACTAGGTTCCTCTTCAGAACGTTTGATCGCCTCGATGGCTTTAGGATCTCTTCCGAACACTCTGGTGTAACTCTGGTTGTACTTGACTCTGTGCTCCTGTTTCACGCCCAGTTTATTCTCCAATAAACGGAACTGTAGCGACTGAAAGCCGGAGGCTGGGCACAAGTATTCTCGAAACGCCATGAAATCCAGCGGTGTCATTGTCTCTAAAATCGTCACTTGGTCCACCAGAAGCTGAAAAACATATAAATACGATTATTACAATTATTCAGATTGTCAATGAAGGAACGTCATCACTTTTGATATTAGATTTTTCCAATATTGGATAAATATAATCCTTTAAGCCATACTATTGCCTTTGTATACAGACGCCAAATCGATTCTACCTTAGTCTACGTCTAAGGCAGTCGCATTCACATTTCTATGGTTGCCATGCTTATGCACCTACCGCGTACGAGGTAGCAGTAATCATTGACACGTATAATGCGCGCCGACAATAACGTGTTATTCGTTATTCTCCGATGCGACGAAATTTCCAACGAAAAATCACCAAGAAGAAACGAAGAAAATATTGTAACGTTAATTATTACTCCAGCTAACACGATCCGTTACGGTTAACGATAGGAAAGTATATTTTTTCTGAGAATGACTGTCTCGTAGAAGGACACGCTGTTGTGTCTTGTATTAAATCCTACTTACTTAACCCTGCTACAGAACTTTTCAATAGGAACAAGAGGAGAAAACGCGACGACCACACCTGCATTCTGTGGTATGGAAAGAGCGCCTACGAGCATGTTACCTAACTCATCTATGCGTGTCAGTGCAGGGTGTCGCATATCATCTAGCAGTATTAACTTACTTAGATCCCACTGTTATTTCTGCAGTTCCCACAATCTTTCTTATTCCGGCATGAAAGAAGAGGAGAAAAGTAACAGTAACGAAAAAGTGTAGCATTGCTGAGAACCTTGACCCGTTTGACAAACTCTCCACGACGCATTAACACGGTGAAAACAATTTTGATCGTACGGTGATCGTGAAAAGTGTACAAGGTGTTTCAACGAACACTCGTGAAAAGAAAAAAAAAAAACGAAAGATTTAGTTTACGTTTGACCGCCTAAAGCTAATATCGACGATTCGAAGAACGCTGCTCATCTTCAATCCTTTCCCTTTCTTTTTTCTTGAAATATTCTTCATTATCGATGAGCAAAATAAAACATATGACAGTCTTGAAGGGGTGACGTTAGAAATTTGATTAGAGCCACCGCAGTGGAGTAGCACCCCTGTCATAAATCTCAATGCTCTAATTGGCTTGCGATTAAGGGTCGTTCACGTTCCTTCCATCACTGTCATTGTCAACATATGGCTACTGGCCTTCTTTTCCCAGCGTATAGGATTACCAGGTGATGCGTCGGTGGTGAGCGGGAAACCTATTTACCATTCTCTCTCTCTCTCTCTCTCTCTCTTTTTAAACAATCCTCCCACAGGACAATGTTGAACCGGTCTTATTGTAACATCCATAAAATACGATTATCTGGCTGGGAAGTTCGGATCTCGCTTACTTTTAGAATGAGGACAATACGGTTTAATCTCTTCAAGATTTCCAGAGTCCTCGACTCGTTCAGGATCTGAGGGACTCGATTCTTCTGAACGGCTGTGTGATTGTTGGAGGTACCATTCAACGAGTCATAGCCGTTCGGTTCGGAGTTGAAGAGCGCTCTGACCGAGTCTAGTTCGTAGATAATCTGTTTGAACCAAAGTTCGTATGCTGCGGACCGATAAAATGAGAAATAGTAATTTTAATCGTTTCGTCTATTCGGAAATTAAATTGTTCCGATAGTTGGAATGAATTTTTCGAGAAATTTTCCTGAAAATTTCATTCTTAAAATTATTCTCATCGTTCTCTCTTTGAGTTATATTCTAGTTTCCTCTTACGTAATATGATTTTCTTTTTGTTCAGATTACGAACAAATGAAAAAACGAACGAACTGTTTACCCTGGTGAGTGACGATAAAAAGATGCTCATCGTGCACTTCCTTGTTGAACTCGGCACTCAATAACCTTTGTGCGGTCAAGATTTTGTCCAATCGAAGATATTCTCCGTAAAGCATTCCAGACCCTTCGTTTGACTGGTCATTCTCCTGATCGTGACCTTCCCTAAAAATAATATCACCACGTATTGCGATTAATTTGTCAATTTTTTTCGTCGTTCTAACGGTTTCGATTAACGAAAATCGTTCGATTTGAAAAGTAACGGTTATTCGGCGTAACGGTCACTTTTTGACCGTTATTTTTGTCTTCAAATTTGAAAATGGATAATTTTAAAGTTAGATTTCATATTTCGCCCGGCGACGATTTTATTGCAAAACTAAGATTTACACACTGTTTCCGTTGCACGAGAAAATATTTACAGGAAACTACTTACGCAATGCCATCAGATAAGGGACAAGCCATTTTTGAAAAAGCACGACGATAGTAATTGTCAAGTGTAATTTGAAAATGTTGAATATTGCATGCAATAATTTTTCACTTTGTAGCGACAATTGTTAGCATGAATAATAAATAAATGTCACGGTGAATTTTACGCTGATAGTCCACTTTAGACAAATCCTCTTTCAGGTTGACATTTCGTTAAGTTTTAATGAGCACCACTCGGTTGGCCGAATGACAACAAGCGACACATGTTGTCGGCGAGGTGGTTGAGCCACGACTAAAAACTGAATGATCACTGACTCGCGAAACTATCCCCTTTATATTTCCAAGAGCTAGGGCACATGAATGAATAATTGACAGTCACAACATCTTTAAATGTTTTAGCATGCAAAAGGCAATCTATAAATAATCCAGCACGGAAATTTTTGCCGCACAATCTTGCTTGACCATCGACTTTAATTTTCCTTCTTCGATCGCACTGGAAATATAGATGCAGCTAGTTCTACAATCGATAATTCGATTCGTACGTAACGGATAATCGTGTTCTCTTGATTGCAAAATATTGATGATCGAAGTATCGAGAAAAGAAACGTACGAATTGTTCTCTTCGATAGATCGATGGCAATCGATTAGATGGTAACTAAAATTACTTGGAATTGTAAACGATCTCGTTAATCGCGAAATTTGCCTTGAAACAGCATCCTTCGATCGATAATAAAAAATCGAATTGTACCACTGTTAGAAACAAAAATTGTAGCAAACGGTTTACCACTTTTAAACTTATTAGTTTAGTAGATCTCCGATAGATGTCGCGAGGGAGGTACATTCGGGTTATCTTTGTTGCTAAATCGAGACGACAGATGTCGCGTGTGGTATGTCTGAGCGGCTGATTGATACTTGCGAAACTACTTTTTTTTCCATATTTAATCATTATTAACGCATTCAATAATATTATTGGAAAGTGATAAGAATTTTAAAGAGGGGAAACATTAGTACATGCAATTATTGACGACGTTTTCAGATTATATAATCGATCAGTTACATAAAATTTATCGCTTTTTTGTTATCTGCATAGCGTATGCGATTGTAAACATTCAAAATATCGAGATTCGTAACGCGTTCACGAAAACAAGAACGAAACGTTGCGCAACATTGACCCTGCTGCCGTCATTCCGAATACAAGTGACGCCTCCGAAATTATGCACGATTATACCTGTTGTCGATATGTAATCCAGTGCCGTAGCAAGAATAACGCAACAGGTGTGCACATTGGCGTAGCGTTCCCGATATACTTTTTATTCCGTAAAATTTATTTTACGGTTCGTCGCGAAATTTCCATCAGCCAACTTTTTAATTGCCTTTTTAATAGCCGTTTACATGCATAAGTTACCCGACGTTTATTTCTCCTCGATCCGATGTTTTCCTCGCTTCTATCAAACTTGTACATTTATCATTCTCGTGGTATCTTTCGATTAATTAAAAATGTACTCGGCATTTGCGATTCGATTTTATTCCTTTTACGTGTCTGGGAAAAAAGGAATAAGAGAAAGCAACTTGTCGTACTACTTTCAGTCGACCGACAGCGATCAAGTACAGCACTGGTCATGAGAGTGTATTCCCGAGCGATAGCAGCGAATCGGTGTGGATATCTTTTATTCGAGTAAGCTTCAACTGGTGTAATGATCGTATTCGGTGTATATTGGCACTGTTAGGTCCCGTTTATATGATAATAGTCGGCCAATCCGTCGTTCTGTCGATTCTATCAGTTTTCGTGGTGCCGCGGTGCTTGATACAATAAATCTACACATTATAACCTCTCGACTCTCGGCTACGTTGATCATCGAGATACATATATTGTTCTGAGGTAAGTAAATTCATGACATGGCAAATTTGAATAAATACCTACAATCTTTAATTCATCATTTATCTCCGGTATCTGTGAAAGATTCTGCGTGTCTGGTGTTAGGTAACGAAATTCAAAATTATCGTAACGGCACTGCGACTGGCGTCGATGTAAACATTTGTTCGAGCGCCGTTAAAAAATCTGGTGTTTCTCCTCGTTCCGGTAGAATCGCTCAGTCGGTAAATCTTATAAAATACTTCAATTAAAACTACATATAGCGATGTGTTGTGTATTTGTTTATCCGATAAACTCGTGTTGCGTGACACAACGCTGATGTAAATCGTGCTCAGACAAAAGGCCTGGGGAGTTTCGTATCAAATGGGAGCAACATCAAACAGAACAATACACGGTGGTCCTTTTGTAAGGGGAAAAAAAGTTTTCTACTTTTCCGATACTACGAACGTAGCGCGATGCATGCCATTTCTCACGAATTGTTCGCGAATAGAGATATTACATACAGAACCATCGTTCTTTCGAGAATTATCTTTTTTAAGCTTCATCGACACCGCTCCCTCCCCCTTTCGGAAGTTTCCATTACACACACCTCTGAGTTGCAATAATGAGAAGAATTAAACGAACGAAATTCCAACGACCGTAGAGAGGAAAACAGGAAAATGGATATCAAATGCAAAATAGGCAGTGATTTTCTTCGATAATTAAACGTGTAATACCAGGTAGAAATCAATAGAGTGTGTGCACGAACTACCGTTATTTCTGCGGTTTGTTGGTTTTTGTTTCACACTCTGTACACATACGTGGTAATAACATGTACCTACAAGGGGTCAGAAAGGGAGAGATCGTATCAGAGTTCGTTATGTTTATACTAGATATGTATTACATTACGTTACGGAAAATAGAATAAGGCCTAACGGATCTTGTTAAGGTACGTATGTATAGTTTGTAGAAAAGAAATATAGTGAATTCGTAAAATCGGTCAGGCGTTGAAGTTTATTTAGCGACGACGGCCGACAACCTGTTGTCGAAGTCTGCGATCTCGATGAAAATGAATTTCACGTTTAACTTTAATTTTGGGGGGACCAAGGTAGAGACGTATCTAGCGTAACCAGCGCCTGGGGCAAGCGCGAAATTTGCATCGTTACAATTCTCCTTTTTCTCACACGATTTTGACTCTGGAGAAAAATAAAAAAACAACTTCATCAACAATTTCACAGCCGAGTCTGGTACAACACCACTGGAGAATGTTGCGGCTAAAGATGCACGCGAAACACAGGAATAACAAGCGTAAACTACTAAAATTAACCCTGAAAATAAATTTATCTCAACAAACACTATTTCTTTCGATTTTTTTCTGCGCCCTCCTGACATTGGCGCCCAGAGCACGTGCCCTACTTGCCCCATCCTAGATACGCTTCTGGTCCAAGATAATTTCAAGGTAATATTATTATCTGCGAACGTATTTCAGTGTTAAATAAAATATGCATTTATATGTCAACAACAAAAATCGAAGGCCTTGAGAATTCCGTGAAGAATGACCTTGGAACAGAAATATTCTCTGTAGCGTATATACGTCCTTCGATACGATTGAAATTTCATATGAAATATTTTTTGTATAGTTACAATTGAAGATATTTAGGTTTTAAGCGAGACAATCTATATTTCTTTCACCGACTATACATATTGCCATTTATGTAAGTATATTAGAAATGTATCGACGCGTTAAGATGTTTATAGGATTAATTTTTCTTTTTTCTCTGAAGTAAGATGTCGAAGGTCGTTCTTTACTCGCAAAATATCAGTCCACCATGTCGTGCGGTACTGATGGTGGCGAACGCGATCGGATTGACGCTGGAAGTTCACGAGATTAACTTGGCGAATAGGGAGCAGCTGTCGGAGGAATTCATAAAGGTAGGAAGTTCTACGGTTTTTCCATCCGATGAAACGTGATGCGTTATCATGAAATAGAGCTCAAATACACGTTCGGTTTCTAACTTTTTCTCCTTTCTTGCCAGATCAATCCTCAGCACACGATCCCGACGTTGGACGACGACGGTTTCATACTACCGGACAGGTAACCGATGCGACTTGTTATTTTTAAATGTTGCAGGTTACCCCTGTAGGTCGGTTACCGATTTAATTCACGATTTGATTATACAGCCACGCTATTATCTGCTACCTGGTGGACAAATATGCCAAGGATGATTCCTTGTATCCGAAAGACTTGCAGAAACGCGCGTTGGTCAATCAGTTCCTTCATCTCGACTCCTCGACGCTTTTCTCTATAGCGAAGAGCGCTATCGTGAGTGATTCATACGCATAAATCTTTCTTCATCTCATAACTGTCTTATCTAATAATGTCAACAAATGTTTTTCACCATTGGTGGGGAATGCATACGGGACAATGGTGTTAATGTTTCTTAATCCCTTAAGCGGGAAGAGAGTTTTCGCATGTCGTTACGATATAGCGGTGTATAAAATGTTAGAAAATCCTTATCCTGCTATTCTATACTGTTTTTTTTTTTTTTTTTTTTTTTTTACAA